TTCCTAGGGCTTAGCCAATGCCTGGTAGGAGGAAGACAATCAACAAACACTTCCAAAAAGAGATCTCTGGGTGAATGAGTAAAGAAGAAACAGCGTCAGACATATTTGAGGGTTACTGAAGTCAATCTGGTGGAAACAGACTTCCTGAAGACAACTGAGGGGTGGGGTAGGTGGGGGCGATCAGTGCAAGGTAGGGAGGTTGGAATCAGCTTCTGGGAGCTTCAGTCCAATGGCTGTGTCCGGTTGAGATAAGAATAGCACTGGGTGGTTGCAGATGGAAAACCCAAGCAACAGCTGAAACAAGAATTAGGCAAAGAAACCACAGGATAACAGAACATCCCAAATAATGAAGAGAAAATGGCCAAAACCCTGATCAGGGTAACATGTCCATGACTCTTCCGGGCAAAGCCAAATAAGGGAGAAAGGGGACAGTAATGGGGGTGGTGGGCAGTGTCCCTGCAATCCCCTCCTTTCCCACAATACCTAATGATTATTTCTCTTTAAGGCAGGGTCTCACTCTGTCACCCAGGCTAGAGTGCAATGTGCGATCGTGGCTCATTGCAGCCTTGAACTCCTGGGTTCAAGCAATCCTCCTGCCTCAACCTCCCAAGTAGCTAGGACTATAGGCAGTCTCCATGACATGGACCTAATTTTTATTCATTTTTTTTATGGAGATGGGATCTCACTATGTTGCCCAGGCTGGTCTCAAACTCCTGGGCTCCAGTGATCCACCCGCCTCAGCCTCCCAAAGTGCTGGGATTACAGGTGTGAGGCACCGTGCTCGGCCAGAATACCTAGCGATTACTCCACTACCTAATTAAATAAACACCTGTAAAATTAGAAACTCAAACTCTGCTGTGTGTGACTATCCTCACGAGTATGCCTGTGAGCACTTCCGCTTTGCAATAAAAGCTTCTGGCTTTTTGCTTCATTCTGATTCATCCCTGAATTCTTTCTCCAGATGGTGTCAAGAACCTGGAAACTGGCTGCGGCTGGGGTCTCACTGGCATCCGGGGACCCTCCTGGGCCCTCTGACAATGCAATGCCATGCAATGAATGGGGCACGACCATGAGTGTGTCCTTTCTGTCACAGCCTGTGTTCTCCAACTGCCCCATTCTTCTAGGTCAGGGATTCTCCATCTTTCTGTGCCATTTGCTCTTTTGCCAATTTTTCTCAAGGTAATTTTTAATGCATACAATAAGACTCAGTGTACGCAGAGGAAGCCAGTTATTTGGAAACCAGGCCTTTTCTAGCACTCTCAGGGTTGATGGGCTAATCGCAGAGAGGCCCTCTGCATACAAAGCAACATGCTGTTCTAAAGTGACTGGGGGCCCGGCTGGGTGACTCATGCTGGTAATCCCAGCACTTTGGGAGGCGGAGGCAGTTGGATCACTGGAGGTCAGGAGTTTGAGACCAGCCTGGGCAACATGGTGAAACTCTGTTTCTACTGAACGAATACAAAAATTAGCTGGGTGTGGTGACACGTGCCTGTAATCCCAGCTACTTTGGAAACTGAGGCAGGAGAATCACTTGAACCTGGGAGGCAGAGATTGTAGTGAGCTGAGATCTCACATTACACTCCAACCTGGGTGACAGAGCAAGCCTCTGTCAAAATAAAATAAAATGTGACAGGGAATTTTTTTTTTTAAACATAGTTTCACTCTTATTGCTCAGGCTGGAGTGCAATGGAGCGATCTCGGCCCACTGCAACCTGCACCTCCCGGGTTTAAGCAATTCTCCTGCCTCAGCCTCTTGAGTAGCTGGGCTTACAGGCATGCACCACCATGCCGGGCTAATTTTGTATTTTTAGTAGAGATGGGGTTTCTCCATGTTGGTCAGGCTGGTCTCGAACTCCCGACCTCAGGTGATCTGCCTACCTCGGCCTCCCAAAGCGCTGGGATTACAAGCATGAGCCACCCGACCGGTGTGACTGGGAAATTATTAAAGAAGATAATTTGTGGCAAGAGACTCTTTGGGTTGGAGCTTCCTACGTTTGCATTTGAAGTTGGTCCTGGCTGTAGGAGAACCTGTGGGTGGTCCTCTGTTGGGGAGACAGGAAGTGACAGTGGAAGGATCCACCTGTGGTTCCCTGGATGCCTTTATTGTCCCTGATGTGCCCAGCAGATGCCCCTGGCACAGCCTCACCCCCAGGTCACCTCCCTTGTGGTGCCTTTGTGACCGCCCCCTCTCAGCTGTCCCATGCCCACCTAGTTAGGAACAGTCTTTCAACTTCTTCTTAACAAACTGCCTTAGGCCTTCCCATTGCCTCTGAAATCTGACTGCTAGCAGGAAGGTTTCTCCAAGTGCCTCGTGGCTCTGAGCCCCTCTCCTCCTCTCCCACACCTGGCCTGGACTGGGTTTCCTCTACCTCGTCCACTCCAGTCCCGCTCTCTTGTTACAGATGAGGCCACATCTGATATTCAAATCTTTGTTAGCCTGGCTAGGCTCACAAGGATTTTGATTTCTTCTTTGATCTGGAGTGTTTATCTTTTATCTTTTATTTCTGCAAGCTGTCATCATATTTCAAAATAATGTTACTATATTTCCTTCTCTTGACTGTTTGTTTTCTTCCCTGGGGCCCTCTGTATTCAGATACAGCTTTTTACCCCTGAAGAAGGAAATGTGAATTTCACATAGCCTAAAGGAGCCTAATTTTCAAATAGAGTTTAATTTTCAAACAGAAGCCAAAGCAGCAGGAAAAAAAAAAGGTAAATCTGGGCGAGGTGGCTCATGCCTGTAATCCCAGCCCTTTGGGAGGCTGAGGTAGGGGGATCATTTGAGGTCAGGAGTTCGAGACCAGCCTGACTAATGTGGTGAAACCTCGTCTCTACTAAAATACAAAACATTAGCCGGGTGTGGTGGTGGGCGCCTGTAATCTCAGCTACTCGGGAGGCTGAGGAAGGAGAATTGCTTGAACCCAGGAGGCGCAGGTTGCAGTGAGCTGAGATCATGCCACTGCCCTCCAGCCTGGGTGACAGAGCAAAACTCTGGCTCAAAAAAAAAAAAAAAAAAAAAAAAAAAAAAGATATAGCCTTCAAATTTGGGCTTTCAAGAAAGATGAGATGGTTGACTCAGAATTCTGAAGACTGAAAATGATTTTCTTCAGGAACCTGGCTTGAAAGATGGATTTTGGAGTAATACAGAATGAATGGCTGAGCTTTGGATGTAAAGGAAGTTCTTGTCCCACAGGAAGAAAAAGCAGGGGCATAGGCAGGTGGTGCTTCATGAGAAGGTCAAGGTGAGAGCTCTGCTCTGTCTTTTGGGGATGAAACCTGTACATGGCAGTTGGTGACTCAGTTGAATCTGGCTCTGGCACCTCACAATCAGAGGGGCCATGGCCACACCTATGTACCTAAGCAGGGGATGCCTGCACAACTCCAAGGGACAGGGATCCAGGCCATGCTTGGGATCACCCAGGTCAGAGTGTCCAGGAACCATGGCCTCCAGGGGAAACCAAGAGTTTCAGATGAATCCAGTGCCTGGGAGCAGAACAAATGAGAAAATCAAATTACATTTTAAAGCAACAGTTAAAGATACCATCCTCTGCTGTGCTAGAGAAGAAGCTTACTGTTTGTTAGGCTCTGCAGTTTAGACATTAGGAATGTTTTTGAGGTGATCCAATTTTGGGATGTGAGTCAGCTCAGGGCAGGCATTCCAGTCTTCTGTCTCAAAATCCACCACTGTCTGTCTTTGTGCATTGCTTCCCCAGCCTTTCTGATGCCATTGAGGGTAATTTCTTTCTTTCTTGTTTAGAGGTAGGATCTGGGTCTGTTGGCCAGGCTGGAGCATACTGGTGCAATCCAACTCATCACAGCCTTGACTTCCTAGGCTCAAGCGATCCTCCTGCCCCAGCCTCCTGCTGGGAACACAGGTATGCACGACCACGCCTGGCTAGTTAAAAAAAAATTTTTTTTTTTTTTGTAGAGACTGGGTCTCCTTTTGTGGCCCACACCGGTCTTGAACTTGTGGCCTCAAGTGATCCTTCTACCTTGGCCTCCCAAAGTACTGGGATTACAGGTGTGAACCATTGCGTCCAGCTCGGTGAGGGTGATTTCTGAGGTTCATCTGTCTCATGTCAGGCAGAAAGGATGGCTTCTGGGGCTGAGACCCCATGCTGCCTCCAGTCCTTGCTTCCCTAGTGAGGCTGGGAACCCAGGCTCAGATTTTGCAGAAGCAGGCCAGTCAAAATCACAGAGACCCAGCCCTGTAAACACTCAACAGCTGCCAGCAGGGGACACCAGAGGGCCAGGGTGGACCGAAGACACCACCAGAAACTGGAACCCGGACATCCCCACAGCTACTGCAGCCCCACTGCCCTCAGTTGCTGGAGTGTGACCACTCCCAAGACCACCAGAAAACACTGTCCACTGTGCCTGCCTCTTTGTTTCCCAGACACATGACCCAATGTCCAGGGCAGTAGCTTCAGCTTGCTGAGCATAAACCCTGCGCACACCTGCTCCTTATATTGCCAGGGAGGCTGCAAAAGGAGGATGCAGCTATTTCTGCTTCCATCATGGAAGGCTGGGATTCCACAGGCACAGAAAGGGAGGGAGAGATGTGGATGTGTACGTCCTCCAGTCAGCTCTGGCAGGGACGGATGTGGGCGAGTGAGGGTCCCACCCCAGCTGGGGTCTACCCAGGCCCATGACCTGGACAGGTTGAGGGTTTTCCAGAAGGCAGGGATGAAGTGTGGTCTGAAAACACAAATGCCCCTACTGGCCCAGGGATCATCATAATAGGCTGGAAGGGTGGTGCTTCCCAGGTGTCTGCCACCCGTCATGCACACCTTCCACCCACTGGCATCCTTCTGCCCCAGGCACACACATAGCCTCAGTCCAGAGATCAACTGTCTCAGCTCTAAATTTGCATATCCTGTGTGTAGACTCACTCATTACAACCTCTGCCCAGCTGGCTTGTGTATCCTTTTTTTTTTTGGTCTGTCTGTCAGGGGAGGAGCCTGTCCTGGCCCTCCCATTGGCCTGTAGATCCACCTCCCCTGGGCAGCGCCCCAGGACCCAGGATAATACCTGTGCCTCCTGCCCAGAACCCTCCAAGCAGGCACAATTGTAAGAATGGTGCCTGTCCTGCTGTCTTTCCTGCTCCTTCTGGGTCCTGCTGTTCCCCAGGGGACCCAAGATGGTGAGTGGGGAAAGCAAGGGGTGGGTGCTGGAGAGGACTGGGAAGAGGTGAGGAACAGGACATGTGGCTGGGAGAAGGGCCGGATGCAGCTGGGACTCCCGGGCATCCGGTAGGAACGGGTGCCCCAGGATGCCATCTGATTCCGCTCACACTCCCAGGAGCATTCAGGGAGCCTCTGCCCTCACCCTAAATAAGACCTTCAGGAATCTGAATCTGAAACCCTTAGTTTACAGTGAAAACAAAGACTCCAAAGACCAAGTGACCTGCCTGGGGTGAGACAGCCAGGTCGGAGCAGGAAGCACAGGCCTGGAGCTGCTTCTGCTCCCGATGGCCGGGTACACCTGCCTGATGCTGAGGGAGAGAGAGAGCAGCCCCAAGGGGAAAGTGAGAAGGCAGGTCAGCTGGAGGGATGGTGCTAGAAGGAAACC